GGGGGGGGGGGGACTCAACGCAACTCCGGAGTAACAGAAATCCGGATTTCGCCGTGAAACCCCCTCAGATGTGTTTTTTCAACACGATGCCGACGCGTGAGGTGGGCGATGCGTGGGAGCCATCAGAAGAGCGTCAAGCGCAGATTTCGGCAGCCGATCGGCCCTCAGCTTTCTTCCTTCAATGCTATAGTCCTACTCGGGCCCTGCTCCCCGCAACGCTTTGAGTCCTTGGAAGCCTAGCTTGCTTTGACGCCCTGCGCTGCTTTGGCGCTCCGCTTGCCTTGCTTTTGTTGTGTAAATTGCAAAGGCGGAAGCTGTGCTTCCCATGCTAGCAGTTTTGTACCAGACACTATGCTTTGAAGCTAACGCAGACCTCAAAGTCACCTACTGTCTTGTCGTGTCCTGTTGTGGTAATGCAGCTTCATTTCGAAACAAGACCCCTCGTGCATGCATTTCGAGTTCATGCAAGGCACGTGCAGGAATCTCTGCTCTTCCGACTTTGCACAAGTCCGCCAAATAACACTTCTGCCTTGAGAATCTCTTGGGGTGCGTGTTCCTCCCTTGCAGCACCAACCTTGATAAGGTCCTGGCCGATGAAATTGGGTCTTGGATGCACCACCAACCTCAAGGCGTGAAGGACCTTTCTCGGCCGTGAATCCATACAGGCTGCGGCATTGCCAACTCTGCGGTTAAGGCTGGTGCGGGATGGATGGACGATCCCTGGAAGCTTGTCCGCCCGCCACCATGATCCGTACTGTCAGCCTCTGCATCAGTGGGTAGAAGCTCCATCAAGAGCTTTGCCTTGCGGCATCCAGCTCGTCAAGCCCACATCCTTCTCGCAAGCACGCCGTTTCTGCCTCGCTTCGAGCACAAGGTCAAGACGTGTCTCGCCTGCGTTCCGCAGCTCCAGCATACCACCTTGTCCTCGCCCAACCGCATTCCGCAGCTCGAACAGTCGGCCCTCAGCCCGCTTGCAACGCGGCCGTGCATTCTTCGCAACCATGAGCCCCGACAGAGCTCCACGTCGCCGTGCCAAAGAGATCTGCCGGTCGGATCGATTCGACACTCGGAACGGCGGCCTGTCTTGGCACACCACAACATTGTCAGGCTTGGCCGATCTGCTGGCAGATACTGCCATACCAACCGAAAGCAAGCGCTTGTCGGTCGAGTTCAGAGCGGTGCCTCGAGAGTCGCAGATCAACGATTCCGTCCAGGGAGAGGATCTTGACGGTCTCGATCACTCTGAAGGTGTTGACGCCGATCTCACCAGCGAGGAATGTCTCAAGCTTCTCGCCTACATCCACAAACATCGTCACGCCAAAGATCTTTGCGTTCCTGTGAAATCAAGCAACCCTCAGCTGTGGGCCAAGATGATCAGCGAGCACGACCCTACGCAACCATCCATCCTGTCCACCATCGGATTCCGAACTCATATCGAGGTGCGCACCAGCACAGGTGTATCGGAGGTCCCATTCTCTCCCAACACAATGCAACTTCAAGCTATGCTTTGGTACGTCCGAAAGCGACTCGCAGCTTCGACAGGGGCGGTCTGGCCTTCATCGGGTGGCATCATTGCCGACGAGCCAGGGGCCGGCAAGACGGTGATGGGCATTGCTTTTGCTCTACTTGCACGGGCATTTGACTTGTTCACAAAGCCCTCCTTCATCGAGGTCAAGTCGAGTATTGCTGCTCAGTATCGCATGGAGATCGAGCGCTTTGTTGACCCTGACGCCGGAATAGACCTGCTCGACTGCACGAAGCAGAGCCTCAAGGACAAGTTGCTGCCAGAGGATCACAAGTCACGCTGGACGGCGAGCTTGATCGTCCTGTATCCTCAAAAGGTCACGCTTCCGAGGGACTACTGGAGCAATTCCAGGGTCCCAACACATCCAAACAACAAGTACGGCGTCGTCATTCTTGATGAAGCCCACGAGTATCCGCTTGTCGACTCGGCCTGCTTCAGCCGGAGCTATGGCATCTCTCACGAATTTGCTGTTGCGCTGACAGCTACTCCGATCAGAACGCTCTCGAACTTCATTTCTATCCTGGGGTTCTGCGGTAACGCTAGTGCACGGCTTCCAAGGGCAGAGGACGCCAAAGCTGTGGTCGCTGGCCAGCATGCAAGATTCGCGGATCCTTCTATCAGAGCGATCGGACACCACTGGCATCACGCGGTTCTGGAAGCTGCCAGTGAGCGAGACATGGCCATGAGGGCAGCGCAGCAAACCATCCTCTCCCTCGAAACCAACATGTTTCGGCTGGCTGGCGAGCACTTCCCCTCCCGCAAGGCACCGCAGGAGCGAAACTCGGCAAAGTATCATCAACGACTCATCAGCCAGTTTCTTGTCCCCATCAAGAACGGATGCCTCAAGTACAAACAACATCATCAAACCATCAGCTCTGCCCACACGCGCTACAGCCGAGCTATTGGCACGTATCTCAAGACCGATGGCGACACCCAGCCGTTCATTCTCAAGAGGCCAAGAGACCCCAAAAGTGGTCCAGCGTACCGAATGCACACCTTCCAGGTGGTGGGCAAGCAGTCCGATGAGCACTGGCGCTCCTTGAAAGAGATCGAGGCAGCTTGCGTCTCTGCCGTTGCAAGCAAGATCCAGGAGGAGGATGTCAGCGGCTGGGACGAGGCCCTGGAGAAGGCCGACAAGAGGCTTAGGAACCCGAGCAACCTATGCTATGGGATCTACCACGGCTCTCTCACGGCGGCGTCAGTTGCCTCGGATGTCAGGCCAAAAGACGCACGCATGCTTCTTGACCTGGCAACTACACACTTCAAGGCAGTGCCCTCGCAGAAGGCGATCATCTTGTCCGATCTTGTAGAAGCCATGCTTCAACACTGGCGTGGCGAGACCGGACCACTCGTCAGCCGACATGCCGATATCTTGCCTCCTCCTACGCCTGTCAGTTCCAAGCCAAGGAAGATCGTCATCTATTGCCGATATGCAATGGTTGCAATGTTCATCCAAAAGCACCTGCGGCAACGTGGCATTGACTTTTTCAACATGTTCGGAGGGGACTCAACAGCTGGCATCCCCGCCAGCGTTGAAGCGTGGGGGGAGTCCGACGTGCCGGTGATGGTCATTTCCAAAGCCATGATGCAAGGCATCAATATCACCCAGGCTTCTGTGATGATCTTCGCCGAGCTCAATCAATCCGAGCCGGAGGACAGACAGGTGGAGGGTCGCATTGATCGTATCGGTCAGACGGAAGACTGCTACTCGTACAAGCTTGTCATGGACGGATCCTACGACATGCGCATCAAAGTCAACGCCAGAGCCAAGGGCCTTAACCTGCTGCCTTTTGGTGGAAGCGATAGTTCGGCTGGCCTCGTCGAGATCTGCCTGCTGCACGGACTGCTGCCCGGATTGGCGGAATGGGAAGCCATCGCTGTAGAGGCCGGACACAAGCCGCTTCCGTCCGAGATATGGAACGCCTGCAACAATCTGCTCCCTCGCATTCCTACCCTGGCAGAATTGGAGCTCCTGAGGGAAGCGGACCAAGGTGCAAAACAGCCGGACCTGGATGCAGCGTCGATGGACCAAGATGGCGAGCAGGAACAGCTTGCACTGCAGTTGATACTAGGGGACAGCGAAGCGCATGGCCGTCCGGTCGAGGAGCGTATGAACGACGAGACACGACAGGCTGCGCAGGCACGTCAAGACGTGCCCTTGGACGCCGCTGCGGTAGCACACACGATGGAGGTTGGCTCCGGCGGCAAGCGCAGTCCGGCTGCGCAGGACAGCAGTACGAGAGACAGGGGATATGAGAAAAGGGCAGCGAACACAAAAGAAGATGACAAGTCTCGAAGGTTGAGACGCAGACAGATAGCAGAAGATGCGGGCGTGAGGCTCCTGTGCCATCTTGCTGATCAGTGGCGTCTCAACTTGGAGGCTGTTGTCAAGGACGACGACCAGTCTGACTGAATGCTATCATTGTCACAACATCCTGTGTGTGACCTTGGAGGGAGGGGTGGGGGGGGGGGGGTCGGG